AGTAGAATTGCGATTTGCTGGCCCGCCGCCCGTTTCGGCCGCCCCCTCCTTCGGGTTTAGCGCCTATGGGACCGACGCCCGATTGGGGATCGCGTCCGTCCACTTCGGGTTTAGCCCGTCCGCAACGGGTTTGGCGCCTTACGCTAGCCCCGATCGGGATCTGCCGTCTCCCACCGCCCGTCTCGCGACGTCCGCCATCTATATAACCCGCGGTGCGTCGCTCGACGATGATTCTCTTCTTTCCCACGCCTATTCCCCCCTTTCCCCCTCCATTATGTTTCGCCGGCATCATTCCCTGATCCGCTGACGTGGCCCTGCCAGCTGAAAACTCTGCGCCCCGAACACAGCCTGCTTCCCCACTCACGGAAATTCGAACGGGTCGCTCTGGCCATGCGAGTCACCCGGATCGCCCTTGATTTCCCAGTTCTACATGGCTCAATACATTATTGGTTTCATAATTTACGCTACACAGGGTCGCTGTTTCAACTGTTGTAGACATCACCCTCGGTCTGCTTGATAACTGGACATTTGAAGTGGAATGTAAGAGGACTACTGGCCGCTCTTTGTCTCAGGCTTCGGTTTGCGAATGCCACGCAGCACACCGCAGAACGGCCACCTTTGCTCTTTCAGACGACGCCTAATTGAATAGCCGGTGAGTCGCTCGCTGGACCCGCTTCCGCTCTCTATCCAACCGCAAAATTGCCTCAAGGAGCTCTGACGCTGAGCTGAGACATCGCAAACATCCATGAAATTGATGGCTTGTATGATCGGCTTGCGTGATCGGCGAATTGTAGGCTGCCGCTCGGATTGAGGGATTTTTTCTTATCAATATCTTCCCAATCCATCAATTGTCAGCTGAGGTGTCCTGGAGGCTGCAACGTTACACGGTGGCTACTACGAACCCAAGGCGCCCTTTGACGAGGCCGGTTGGTTAGATTAGTCCGGAGTACTCTCAAGTGATCGCCCGACGCAAGCAGCGAATAGTATCAACGAGGCAGTGCTGTCGCAGTTCTCGGTTGTGTGGGGTCCGCAAGGCGATATACTGCATGATTCCTCAGCTAGTAATGCCCTGGCGGCGCCTGGGTATTAAAAAGGATAACTGATCTCCTTTTCCCATTCTTTAGATATGATTCAAAACGGACGTAGACACACCAGCCTACCAGTGACCGCTGCACTCTTATTCAAGCTTACTTCATTATCTGTTGGTTTCTACCTCCGCTGTGTCTCCGCTGTGTCTTATCACTTTCTGGGAAATGAGGGTGGATCTTGATCAAATCGAGTTCTACCATGGCCCAAGTCGCCCGCCGCTTTCTACCAGTGCAAAAAGCGTGCCCCCCAACCACGCCCTAGCTCATGTGCCACGATACCTCCAGCAGTCTTTTCCCACTAGGTTCGGCTTCTGTCCAGGACCGTGTGAGGTACCCCTAGGACAGTCACCGCCACTGACCGGTACAACTTATGAGTGGAACATATTTGACTTCGAGATCAATCATAGACCCACTCAGACTGAAATGACGAAAGATGTCGGACCCTCAGTGACAACAGATATACCAGCTGCCTGTGACATTCTGTTGGATCGTGGAAGTTCCGCGCTGGCTTTCTCAGAGCCAGTGCTATCGACACACTCCGCGAGAACAATCCCGTGTACTGCAGGGCCAAATCACCTAGACCCTATTCCTCCTGATATACGAGGAGATGATCTACCGGGTAAGCTGACACAACACATTGAAATTCGGCCATAATCCTCTCATTATCTGACTTTTTTCTATTGTAGACACTGTTCCTGATACCCAAGAAATGGAGACTTCTCAACTATCGTGCACACCCTGTGTGACCGCACCCGTGTCTGCACCAGAACCTACACCCGAACAAGCGAACTGTGTCTCTAGCAACCTATCTGTGGTGGGTGATTTTCAGCAAGAATTAGCCAAGCGGAAGTTATCTACCATGGAGCCCTCAGACATTTCAGACAGTGGGGACTACGAAAATGATTCGGAGCCGAGTCAGACATCTAACCTAGGTGAAAATCCATGCTCAAGGGCAAACAAGGCTTCTGAGCGGGCTGAAGATCCCAGCACTATTGAAGACACGCCAGCCACATCTAGGCCGTCCTCCCCGCCGACGGCTCGCTCTACATTAAAATGTTCTCGAGCTCGAACGACACTAAGTTCTAAACCCCCGGTGCGCTACCCGTCGATAGCTGTGGTTATACCATCAACGTCCGGGAAACAAGGAGCCGCCAGGACAAGCACAAGGGCCGCTGCGGCAGTATGCAAGAAGCGACTCCGCTTAGGTCGAGGCACCGGCGACCACCAAGACGAGAACACCCCCTATGACACAGCACAGCCGTGTCAAAAGAGGAAGAAAAGGAGACCTTCAATTAGGCCACTTTCCGACCCTTCGAAATCTTCCGTTCCTATTTCATCTCATCGCTCTGGTGCTATCCAGCGTTTACATGGGAGTGCTATCCTCACGGTCGAGTCTAATACTGGTCTGAAACCGGCATATTTCTTTACTTTCGTACCCGACCCTAGCCCGATGCTGCCTCCAGCCCACACGGCGGTTATCCCCCCATCGAAACAGACGTACACGTCGGACGAGAATGCGCTGCTCGTGCGGCTGAAGGAAAAAGAGGCAATGTCATGGTCTGAGATTACGACTCACTTCCCAGGTCGAAACATGTCATCCCTTCAAGTTCACTATTCAACCAAATTACGCCACAAGGCCAGCTCTCGGTCTGGAAGACCGAAGAAACGCCAATGAGAGAGGCTATGCTGTCGCGATATTTCTTGGTTCGCGCCTGTCGACCTTGCGCAGTATACAACATCCTCCGTAGCCATCTGTTTCAATACAAGCATTGTTCCCAACTACTTCACCTAGGGTTTGGATCTTTCAAACCGCAGTATCCTCTATTGTTGCGAACATTTCCTGGAAAAAATCATCCGATAGCATAGTTGCACATTCCTCTCTTTTCTGGCACGCTCCGTTGACAGTTTTAATCACAATATTCTCTGGCAGAGTCTGGTCTGCTTTCCACTTTACTGCTGGGTTTCGTAGAATGATTTCTAGCATTTCCGCGCTTCTGTTAACTGCATTTCCTGCCGCGACAAGTGCAGCTTCACTCAAGTCCTGGTGGTTTTCAGTATGGCGCATAATCCAGCTCGCCCCAAGAATGCAATTGTGTGCTGCGGCGAACCGCATTTTACCAGTGTCTAATCTTCCCCATTAAGCATAGTTTATTCGCATCAAAAGTTAGATATCCCCCGGAGGCATGCTGTTATCCTCATCGTCCTTATACGGCCAGTTTTGCCAACACAACTCCCGCTGGTCCACTTCTGCTTGCCGAACCATTTCCATACGAAACTCTCGATTGCCCTCCACCGCCCTCTCAAAGTTGTCTGACTCGGTACCGCCTTCCATATCTATATCGAGGTGTTCTCTAACCTGGGACAATAGCTGTTCAGACTCATTCCATTCTTGCGATTCCACCATGGCAGCCTCTCGTTCTTCATCGCTGAACACAACTGGACAAGCGGCCGAGGAGATGCTGCTCCATACCGATGGAGTCGTGATACCTACTAAAGCAGCACGTAAGTTGATTACGTCTGCGTCCCAGGGATACCCTGTCTGGCGAAGGAGATACTGCCGCATTCCGAGATGAGGAAGTCTCAACAAATCCATATGTTCCTCATTGTGTACGCCTGTCGCGGCTGTGTAGTAAATGTTGGCCTCTTCCAAGCGAAAGACGGCTCTGCATTGTCTCTGTTGTTCGATTCCCATCTCATCAAAATCATCGGGAAGAGATGGAATATGCATACTTTGAGGTTGGGAGGAATCGTGCTCACAGAATGCGGGATAACCCACTTGCATGAAGCGGGGTAATATCACAGCATCCTGCCAATCGATGATACTGATGATTTTGGTTGATCCAGGTGCCAACAAAATGTTGCTCAGACTCAAATCGGGGTGTCTCAGCGTCGGAACGCTGTAAGAACCCGGTCGGATTATATGAGGCGCCAATTGTAGGAATCGCGAAAGTAACGAGGTGTGCTCAGAGGGAAGAATGTCATGGTTAGTCGGTAAAAGAAAAGTTTGGCGAGGCTGAGCTTTGGCGTGGTGCTGAATGACAGCCATCTCTCGGCGAGCCGCGGACGTAACACAGTCCTCGGGTGAAAGCCCTGACAATAATCAGTCCCGGTCATGGGGATTACTTTTCTAAAACTCAAGGACAGAGGGGGAAGAGGGAAAGGGAGGAACGTACAGGGTCCACGGTCAATTTCGAGTTTGCTTCGTTCACCATGCCAAAACTGCCGAGCAGACGCAGGGCCGATACAGAAATCCTCCACGATTGGTATCTGGGTTTCCCCGTCAAGGTCCTTCTTGTGATATAAGCTTCCATACGCAGGAAAATGGAAATCAAAAATCTTCCTCTCCATATCTGCGATTTGTGTCATGATATCTTTCGTCTCGTCGGTAGTGAGAGATAACCACCGTGAAGAAAGACTCTCTCCCTTCACTCGCTCCATCAGAATATACTCTGCGCCGATGGGATTGTCCGATGATGCTGAATAAGCCAAGACCTCCGGTACCGGAAGTTTGAGGATAGATCGCAAAAAGTTCATGGTAGCCACCTCACTGGCGGTTGTATAATGAGGAGGCCCGGCAATAGGAGTCGGAATTCGCGCGATCACTTCACGGCCATTCTTTGCTCGCAGAAGAAACACTTTGTTGAAGCCTCCCTCTGCAAACTTAGTAATATGAGGGCAATAGTCTTGTTGTACTGCTTCGCCGGCGATCCGTTGGAGCTCTGTTGGTCGAAACTTGACGTATCGTTCGTTCAAACGGTCGGTCTCGTTGAATCTAGCTGGGATTTAGTGGTTACGATCAAAGCAATAATAAGCTTCACATACATCCATCGTCGTGAGGTATTTTGAAAGAATTCCTCACGGAATGCTGGTGGACTGGTGGATAGGTGATTGCGGGAGGAAGCAGACATGGCAGGCTGCCTGGAACAGACCAACGGTTTCCGCAGACAGGGAGCGGATGATATACTTCGAGTAATGGCGTGTCTCTGGAAGGAATTCACCATTGTTTAAAAACAATAGTAGTAAAAAACCATTCAGTCACGGAGATGTTGCCTGATGCAGGTTCACTTTATCAGTTGACGCCGTGGAAGCTTGCTAGGAATCGAGGTAAGCTCCATATGCTAACTACATTCACGTGATCCGATACTGGTCTGGGGCCTCGCCCATGGGTTTACCCACCAACCGCTGAGCACCCATGCACCAGTATATTATTACAGCATTATATCGGTAATTTACTCAGTAACACATATAACAAACAGTATGTCATATTGTATATTCTACTGTTATTTAATTTCTGGCGGAATCGAAAATTGCGCTACAGTATATCGCGACAAGTTACGAACTAGGAGATGCTGTGTCGATATTGCGCAAAGACTTTTGGCCACGCGTCTGGCGCAACTGTTACCTAAGTGACCCTCGGTGAAAATATTATCGACCGGAGCACCATCTCCCTGGGAATACTGTCAAATGATATGCGGGACCCACATGGCCCATCTGGGTTCCGTTCTCCTGAACGAGAGAAAGGCTCTTTCTTTTCCTTCGTGTCAGGGTGCGGG